CTTTGAGCAGTAATTATGGTTATTATGCAATCATTTACTGTAACAATACCAATACAAATTACAAGTATAATCAATTATTGTTATGGGCACAACTTTCAGCAGCATCAGACATTTATAGCTGGAAAGTTTTGACATGAACTTTCTTCTTAGTACTGAAACAAATGATTTAAATAAATACTTTAAAAAACTTATGAAGTAGTTTTATAAAAAGAAACTATCCTACTGGTAAAGAAATTTGCCATTTTATCATATTTGTGAATTTTAAAATTTTATCATATTTGTATTAAATATAAACAGGTATGGAAGAATTTTGTGTTCATTCCAGGTTTGTGCGTTCAAGAAATTAACCTTTTATAGTGTATTTTTCAAATTTCTAAGTTTTGGAGCATTTTAATAAAATTGATTTACAAGTTAAGTGGTAACAGTTTGAGTTATAACATACCGTAGAATTTTGTGCAATGATCCACTTTCTAAACGGCAGAGTATTACAATCACACCTCCACGGATTTCGAGATAGAGTGAAGGTCTTGACATTAGACGGCGGATTATTGAAGAATCTTGTAATATTGTTTTCTGCCAGTAAGAGAACCTCTATGTTGTTTGGAAGACTGAAATCCAACCGTGAGATAAAGTTTCGCTCCAAATTCAAGATACGTAGCTTGGACGTTGAAGGAAGGTTGATCTCGACTGGATTAGACAACAAGTTTTCTTGAAGGTTTAGTTCAATTGTTAATTCTGGAAATCTAGCTGGTATCTTAGAAAAAATAAAGATATTCTATTACTAAAAAAAATATTACAATGGAAATTTTGATAAAAAAAATATCAACACTGCACAAAAAAAACAAAAAAAAAACGGGAGCCTATAATAACTTTTGATCTAACGATCAGATTTTCACATACTCGGACTCAACCTTAATGGTTCGAAAATCTATTCTTAAATATGCTAAATTATTAGAGTAGGCAACATATTATGTTGAATACACAAGTGGGCGACCTTTGTGCTAAAATACAAACAAAGCTAAACAACGTTTAAGAGCACAAAAAAAATTGTGCTCTTAAACGTTGTTTACCTTAGTTTGTAACATATTATGTTACAAATTAAACGTACATAACGTGTTTTCGAATAAACATGCAATTTTTACGATTGATACGGATTCTTCACCTTCCAAATGTGAGAGGCTGTCCCGATTTGGAAAATATTGTCCCGATAGTTCGGTGAGAAGAGTGGGTGACAGTTTGGACCTCTTAATATTAATTTTAACTAGCTGTTAAAATGGTTTATTATACAAAAGAAGCATTCTTTTTAACTCACTAATTACTTTTTTGTCATTCCAATATCGTAGCTAACAATGAAGCAGAAATTCTTGAGTATTTGCTTACCTCAATAGTTAACCTTAAATTACTAACCCTAAATTATGACAACCAAATTGTTGAAATGATATTTTCAATTACGATTCCATAAACAAAATTAATAGCACATTTAATTACAGCATATTTATAGTTAAGCCTGTGGATCATAAGAATCGAGTCTTAATTCCCGAAAATCCGGGGTGCATTGTAGATTGCGCTTTAAAAATTTAACACATCCCATTAAAAAGTTCGACTTAAATCTATTAAAACTAAATAGGCAAAAATAAAAACTGGTTTGTAACATTTATGCAAGCATAACATTTTTGAAATGTTTGTACAAAAAAAAAGATTAAAGCAAGAAACAATGTGAATGAAGCACAAATAAAGTACCAAAATAGACATACTATAGTTTTAGTTTTATAAAAAATAGCCTTCTTTAGAAAGTAAACTCTAGATGGCAGTAGAAAAGTCAGGAATTACGAGCATGCAAAGTGATTTAACCAATAGGGGCAAAAGAACTAGTTTGAAGATAATAGTAGAAGGCTAATAACAAGATTAATAAAAGCTTGATATGAAACGAGTGTGAGGGGTTTTGGAGAGAATCCCATGAAGGTACTTTTTATGAACTTTCTAATTATTTATGCGAAGTTGTGGGTAAAATAACTTTAAATCAAATTTACTGAGTAAGAACAATACATTAAATCAGGACAGGCAAACTACTACACTTTTTGCTCAGAAATTTATAGAGTGGGAGACAGTTATTAACTAATCTTTTAAAATGTTGGATTACTCTGCCAACAATTTAACACGTTGAGCACCGCGACAGCCATCGGTGGCTGACACTGGACTTTCCATTTAGGCCACGTCAACCACCGGTGGCTGACACTGACCTTTCACATAGGCTGCGAAAAACAGCTGGCTGACAGCGTATAACATGATATGGAACTATAAAATTTACACTCTTTTATGGAATTGCAGAAAATTTATTCAATTATTGTGATTCTTGGTTCAATAAATTCAATTTAGTAGATTTTTATCCACCACTATTTTTAAGCAATTCGTAGTCTTATATAATTCACCACTTTTTTCATTAATGTCATGTTAAACCTTTTAAAACTAGCAAAATCTGTCTAATATTTGCAATTTTAGTTTGTAGTTAATTACAGTTTAGCCCGACGGGCAAGCCATGTAAAATTAGCGTGGCGTTCAAGGTGTTAAAAGCCTTACTATAAGATCGATGGACTTAGACTAAGGTAGTATTCGGAATCCCTGTCCGCGAAGTGGACATTTCACTTCTTCATCTGAAGTATAACCCGGAGGAGCCTGGTATATTGTCTTTATCAAGTAGTAGGAGATTCAGCAGGGGGACTGTTGGCGTCTTGGCAGGTTATAGGCTTGATGGGATGATCTCATCTTCTATGACTTTTCTTTGAGCAGGGATCTGAGTGAGTCAAGGAGATCTTAGTCCTTTAGTAACTGCTGCATATCCTTAAGGATGAGCAGGAAGCTGAATCGGAGGTTTTCCTGAGATTTGTTGGTCTGAGTATCCTCTTGCTTTTCTTTTTGGGTTTAGCACTGCAGCCTGAAAAATAGGTTAGGGGCTAACCATTACAATTTATGCACTTGGCCGGCTCACATATCAGTTTCGTACACAAGTACGTAAAATGTGCGTCAGCGTACTTCATGCAAGCCGGTTCTGCATTGCAAGGCTTCTGCGTGTGTCCGTATTTCTGGCATCGGAAACATTGAATCTCCGGGGGCGGTAGCGACGAAATCTTTCGAACTGTACTGGTGTTTTCAGAAGTTGATCAATGTTATAGATCTCACGATGCTTGGTGTTATCTGTGAGAAGAACTATGAAGAGGGGGAGGAGCTTTTACTCCTGGCCGAGCCTCTTTCTCACCTGTTCGATTCTGATTGGTCGTAGTCCAATATCTTGTAAAGCTTTTTCGATGACTGGAATTTCTGCTTCGGGTTTTAAGTCCTCTGACGAGAATTTTGAATTTTCTACTGATTTGTAGATTCTCTGTCTGATTGGAAATAGCAAGGGAAGCCTAATCTGTAGAATGTGTTGCAGTTGTAGCTTCTCGCTGAGTTGTAGAAGTGGAGTCTTTGTCCGGCTTTTCTTGATCTTGGGGGGGGATCCTTTTCTTTTTCTTCTTCCGTTTCTTGTACGAAGGCTCTTTCGAGTCGGACGAAGAGTCCGCTTCTTGTTGAATGTTTTCTGGTTCTGGCTTGTGATCTGTCTCCATGTTGACGGAATCAGCCACTGTGTCAGTAGTATTATCAGCTTTCTCAGGATCGGAGGGCAGTGTAGTCTCTGGTATATTTGCATGTGTAGTGGTGGCTACTGTCATTTCTGATTCAGTAGTCATTGCTGTTTCAAATGCAGTGTCCTCAGGGAAAAGCTCTTTCCCTCTTTCCTGGTTGGCTTGGCTATACATCTCTTGTTTCCTTCTAGCCGATACAGAAGTTCTACTCAGAAGAAATTTTGCATGGGTGTTGATCAATCTGTCTATATCTTTGACCATGCTGGTTATACTCCTGGAGTAGTTTAATCTTTCCTCATCTGTTTTCAGATCATCAAAATGTGCTTCTCGCCCTGCAGGCCATTCCGTCCGCCGCTTTCCACTTCGACCGTATTGCTGATAAGTAGCCATTGCAGCTCCAAGCCCGGTTATAGCACAAACTTACTCGGTGAGATCCAATGAGTGAAACATAGTACAGAGATGCCAACTTGCTCCAGACAACAATATATATTTTAAAGTGGTAGTTTATCAATTGTGATTCTTGGTTTAATATATTCAATTTAGTAGATTTTTATCCACCACTATATCTAAACAATTCATAGGCATATATAATTCACCACTTTATTGTATTTATGTCATGCTATACAATTCAAAAAGCACGCAAAATTAGTCAAATATTTGCAAAATTTAATTTGTAATTATTTNGGGGAGTAAGGCCTTATGTACGGTAATGTACGAAGGGGGGGGAGGGGTTTAAAATTTCTCCATTTTTGTGTACGTACTTTTTGAACGGCCCCCATGTATACAATTCAAAAAGCACGCAAAATTAGTCAAATATTTGCAAAATTTAATTTGTAATTATTTACCGTTTTTTTATTATTTTGGCGTCTCCGGAGCAGTTGGCATCTCGGCATAGTAGTGTTTTATATGAATTTTTTTATTACTTACTTGTAGTGGTGTGAAAAATGACCTTAAATCAAATAAATGAAACAAAGAATTATGCATTTGAAAACAAATATAGCTATAGCTGGAAGAAAACTTACATAAAGCATATGTAATAGGCAAACAATAAAAACATAAATTTTGTTACCATTGAAACCATTGAAGAACACTGCCCACAAAACGGAGCAAGTTTGCGTATTCTTTAAAATGTTATAAAATGAATAAATTGAAATCTTTACGAACGATAGCTGTTATTACTGGAATCACTTAAGGGTAAGATAAGTCGAGGACGAGAATAAATAGCTTCAGGAATATTATCTTAACAAACAATTTATGAACCAACTATTCACAATTTTCCTCTAAACATTTCACTAAATGTTATGATACTCAGAGAGTAATTAAACTAGAGAATTTATAAAAAATAATAATAAATACCCTAGTCAAACTTTTTGATGCGCAATTCACATTTGCGTATCCCTCGTCTCTGAAAGCATGGCACGAACAGTCACAATACGATGGACAGTCTTCTTTTGGCCAAGATAAATCTTCTTTAGTCAATTGGCTCAGCTGTTTTGATTTGAACCTGATTGGCAAAGAACAAGCAAAGTCAAAATTTGATGTATTTAATGCTGTGTTATCCATCATCCAATCGCTGATCCACAAAAGGCGACAATCACATACCCAATTATTTCCTGTAAAATAAAAAGAATGTAAATAATTTCAATTTTCAAAACTGGAAGAGTTTAGTTTATGATTCGATAATGCCGATTTCATTTACTATAAGTACTGAACTGTTAGAAACTTTTTAAAAAAAATTAATAAAAAAATATCCGATACTTTTCTCAGTGATGAAACGTGAGCCTATAAAATAATGATTCCTCGTTCAATTTGCATAATGATTTTGATGAGCAATTTACAGTCATATATAAGAAAAGTAACTTCTCGGTAATCAACGTACAGTGCGTAAAAAACGATCGGACCACCCTCACTAACTTTTGATATAATGTTAGGAACTTCACGTTCTAAGACTCAATCTTAATGATTCGAAGGGGTAATCTCAAATATGCTAATTCAACAGTGTAGAATCAAATAAGCTAATGCAATAGTGTATAATCAAATATACTAATTCAATATAGTAGAATCAAATCTGCCAATTAATTAGTGTTAATTAGTTACGAAATCAGGTTCAAACCCGTACTTTTTCTGAATAAACATGCCATTTTTTTGTGATCATCAAAATTTGGGAAATAGCTGCAATTTGGGAAATATGCTGCCCATAGTTTGTTCAGGAGAGCTTTCCACAGTTTAAACCCCTTAATGCTTTCACTTTAAGTAAACTTTACTTTTAGCGTATTTTGCTTTATCTAGAAAACTTTTTAAGCGAATTGAAAATGATTTAAACAGAATAAAAATTTTTGTTTTTCCGAAGAAATTTCTTGGCAAATAGAACTGTAGTAAATATTTCTTATTATTTCATTTATTAAATTAAATAAAAGTTGAATTGTAGGGTAAACAGCTTTTTACGTCATTTTAAAAAAAGTGGATTTTGATGGCAAAATATAAAAGTGGAGCGAAATCGGTAGAATCGTTCCTGAGAATTCGAATTTAAAAAAACTCAGATAATTAATAATTAAAGATTCGAGAATTTTCAACAGCCACTTGAGATATGTGAAACTATTTTTTACTTAGACTAACCCCACCCGATTAATGCGTCCCTTCTAGACTACCCTTGCAATGACTGTGAGGAAAAATTTATTTTCTGAAATTCCGTTTCAAATTGTTGGATATTAAATGAACCTACCAAATGTAAATATAGCTTGAATCTCTAAAACACCAGGGAACGATTCGCTTGCCAAATTTTATTGTATATTACGGGACAGTTTTTGTAACGTACACTTGAGTTTCATGATATAACTTTATTGTCTCTGCAATCGCGTTCAGTGGCTCAGCAGTTGAATTTAACCATCACACACTCTCTCCCTCTCTAAACATTATAGTACATTGATACCTATATATATACACATACCCATATATACATTTTAGAATTAAATGTAAGTCATGACGTGGAAAATTAATTATGAAATAAATAGTAACGTTGGATGCCCAAACATGCACTCGTTGCAGTTGAGAAATTTCTTTTCGAACTTTACGATGCTAATTGAATGCGAAAAAATATACTTACCAGTTGTAAATATTCTTGAATATTTAAAATGATTCTCCTGACAAAGGTTTTAGTTTTTTAAGAGACAAATCAATTTTTTGTAACCGGAACCAGTCTAGCTGAGAAAATGCTTCTGAATTGATTTGAGAAATATAATTTTGATTGATTATCGATTCTTCAAGCCAATTGATTGTTTATCAATTCTTCTGAAATTCTGATTCAAATTGTTAGAGATTAAAAGCACTTACCAGATGTAAATAATTCTCGAATCTTTAAAGCACTAGGAAATGATTCTCTTGACAATGTTTTTAGTCTATTATGAGACACATCAATATTTTGTAGCTGGTCTAGCTGAGAAAATGCTTCCGAATCGATTTGGGAAATATTATTCTGCCTTAGTATCAATTCTTCCAGCAATGGAATCGACAAAAAGCAATTTTTTGTTATTTTACTAACACGGTTATCTTCTAAATTAATAGTCTTCAACGATACCAAAGATTGAAATGCATAATCGCAAGATTCGATTAAGTTGTTACTTAAATCGATATGTTCCAAACGATTATTTCCAGAAAAGCATTTTGTTACATTCCTTATTTGATTTCTTTTCAGATTAACACTAGTCAAATTTTCCAAATTGTTGAAGAGATCTTCAGGTATTGTTGTCAATAAGTTATAACTTAGATCGATATTCTGTAAAAAAAAAAAAAGTCATTAGTTTCGAATATATTGGCCAAAGTAATTACAACACGTACAAGAAAGCAGAACGCTCTTCTATTTAAGAAGAGTTCTCTCAATGCATGTTAATTAGTTCAGAATTACAATGAGCAACAATATATTGGGGAGAGGGGGCTAGTGTGGACATAATGCTAGCTTAGACAAATGGAGTAATGTTTTTATCACTCAACATTTCTCTGCACATTTAGGCTGATAGGCAAAATCTGTGTAACTCTCCCATATGAAGTTACAGGAGAAAACATTAAATTGTTAAGCAGCAAAAAAAAGAAAAAAGAAAAGCTTTTATTGATTGATTTACAATTTTTGATTTACAATTTTGAGGAGATATTAAACTTATTACATATTTTAATATATCACATTTGATGTATCTTGATTTAAAAGATAAATATCTGATTCTGAAGAAGAAAAGTTGATGCTGGTAAGCATGTCATTTTATTTTTATTCTTATTCAAAAAAGAACTTTTTGAGCTGTATAAATTAATTTCAATAAAAAATGAATGCCCGAATCTGGAAGCTAAAAAATATCTCAGACTACCTAACAATTACACATATGCCTTCTTGCTAAACGATTGTTTAGAGACTGATGAATTGTTACAGTTAGTAGTGTAAATAAATATGTTACATGGTTAAGCGTCGGACGTCATGAGGATGCCAAAGTTTGTTCGACGGGTGTTCGGAAAGTCAACCAATAATATTGGAAAACCTGAATGCAATAATATTTTAGAGTCACTGGAGACGAACAGAAGTTGCCAAAATTTAAATTCAGAAAGAAAATAAGACTTTCATCGGAACAAAAGGAGTAATCACCTGGGAGTATAGACTCGGGAAAAATTTTCGATGATGTTTGTTCCGTTAGCCAGAATTCATAAAGTCGAAGTGAAAAAAGTCTGAGGAAAGGAAAGAAAAGGTGGATGTATTGCTAAAAAAGTAGTTCTAAGGAATATAAAAGTACTAAAAAAAAGATAAATAACCACAAGATTTCAGCTGAGGATACAGTGGAGTTTATAGATGGCTTAGTACTGAAGGTTCCAGCAAGGAATCAAGAAGCACTCTGTGATATTGCAGTCTTGTTGGTTGAAGATATACTCTTTTGCCCAGAAAGTAAAAAAAAATACGGCAAATGGTACTAAGGTAGATATGGGCAATCGAAAGAATTTTGATAACGAAAACACCTCTTGAAGTTGGGAAAAGATGCTCAACTCTTTTGATGGAAAGTTGCGATGGAAACTACAAAAAAGAAAATTAAAGTAGAGACGTTAGCGACGATACATTAATGAAAAGCGTTAGCCAATCAGCAAGAACTGAGTGCCGAAAAGATGAAATGGTTACATTATTTTACCCGATTATATTGTAGTGTGGATTGAAGTCAACATATATTTAAATATTCAAAGCAAAGCCTCCAGATCTGAAGCATGTAAGTGGCACTGAAACACATGTGCATTAATTAACATTCTTAGTAGAAGGCAATATGATGATAAAAAAAACAAGAAAACTTCAATATAGCAAAAATATTTTAGTTAGTATTCAATATAGGAAAAATATATTCAGTCACTGCCACTATGTTTTAGTTATGAAATAATACAAAAATGGAATTTAATTGTGAAAATGTCATGTTTGTATATAGTTGAGTTAAGAAATATCTATGTTTATTATCTTTGATTNAGATTTATAGATCACGCTTCCGAAAAACAATCTCTCCTTAGTTCCTTACTCACAAATAAAAAGAAAGACCCTACACCCATTAATTGGACAACCGAAGCTGTGTGCGCTTTTGAGACTTGCAAACAAGCCATTTCTAATGCAGCAACACTTGCACACCCCACACCCGCCGCAAAATTTTTTTTGCATACAGATGCGTCCGACATCGGTATAGGCGCAGTCCTTCAACAGCAAAAAAACTCCACACTCGAACCTCTAGCATTCTTTTCTCGCTCACGGAAAGGAAATACAGTACGTACGATAGAGAGTTACTCGCAGTCTACTCTTCCATACGGTACTTCGCTCACATGTTAGAGGGAAGTTTATGATCCGTTATAGTTTATAGTTTATGTTTATAGTTTATAGTTGGAAGTTTATAGTTTATGATCCGTTAGCACATGTTCCATGTGCTAACGGATCATAAACCGCTGACTTTCGCATTCCAGCAAAAATCGGATGACTCTTCACCTCGTAAAAACCGACATTTACAGTATAAAGTCAGTTTACAACGTCGATTCGTCACGTGCCTGGAAAAGAAAATGTTGTTGCTGATACACTTTCCCGCATTGAGGAAATAGCACTCACTGGTCCAATGGACTACGCTGAACTCGCAGCAGCGCAAAAATCCGATCCCGAACTTAGCACTTTAAAGTCGTCAGCTAATTCTAGTTTAGTTTTCAAAAATATTGTGTTTCCTCCTGACGGTATAATACTCTGTTGTGATACTTCTACTAATGTTACACGTCCATTTATTCCTCAATCTTATCGACAAATAATTTTTTCCAAATTTCATAACCTGTCACATCTCGGTATACGCGCAACAATTCGTCTCATTAAACAAAGGTTCATTTGGCCTTCCTTGAATAAAGATTGTACCCTGTGGTGTCGAGCTTGTGTCTCGTGTCAGAAAGCTGAAATTCAAAGGCATACGAAATCACCTTTAAAAGATTATCCTCTAACTTCTGATAGGTTCGCGCATATACATATTGATATCGTCGGACCACTTCCTTCATCAAAAGGTTTTAGATTTTGTCTCACAACAATTGATCGCTTCACGCGTCGGCCTGAAGCAACGCCAATTGTTAACACCACTGCTGAA